GTGAATAATGTTACAAGTTCTTTAATTGTCTGCCAATTTTCAACAAACAATTTTCAGACCATTCATAATGTAACTTTTTATGAATAACGTTCACACACACACACACACACACACACACACACACACACAGAGTTCTGTTCCTTGATAGGATGACATATTGCATACACCCAACCCATACAGTGTGAATTTCAAACCTCACTATAAAGCTCAAAATTAACAAATCCAAATTGGCACCAAGTTATACTGTTTTAGATCATGGTAATAAAATATACTAGTATATACTAGATATACTAAGCTAGTATATTAGCTTAAGTAACAGATGGAGTTTGAGATATAGCCCACTAAACTTGCATATGGAAAGGTGACAATAGGCACAGGGAAGAAAAAAAAAAATGATACAGAACTACCATGAAAACTAACATGGTCAAATTGTAGCTATTCTTAGTTTATATAACCATGTGATCTTACTACTCTTGCGTCTCAAGCCAGGAAATGCTAAGAGCAGGTACAGTGAGAGACAACAGCGATATTCACCAGGGACATATGACGCATAGAGTACTGGTGCCTGCCTGGTAAGACTAAACAAAAGGTATTATGTTAATCAAAAACACAGAAGAAAAAGGTGGCAAGGATGTGTGAAGTCATATTTAATGTCAGCTATAATCCGACCTCCAGCTCACTAGCTCTTCAGACTTGGAGGATGACATAAGCAGTCATCCAGAACAGTCAGCGGCAGCTGGCAGAGATGGTTGGGTGCTGGGTCAAAAGCTGGAGAGAGTGATTAATTTTTGCTGGAAGAGACAACTGCAGAGAGAAAGGAGAATGATAACCTGAGGTACGACTAAGCCACAGAGGAGATCGGCGCAGCCTCCAGCCGAAGCCAAATACCACCCAAAAAGGATGCAATCCTGGAATACTCAACCATTTATTAGGGCAAAGGAGTTTGGATTTTCTGTATTTCACACTGTTAGAGTTTGCACTTGTTCAGAATTCAGCACACTTTATTCCCCGCCTCCCTGTCTCATGAATATATTGTCTGAGGCAGGATATATATCTTCTGATATGAAAAACTGAGCCTTCAGTTGCACCAAGAGCTTTTCAGAGATAAAGACCCAGATAAGTCAAAGGTGGATCTTGTCTTGGGAAGTCAGAAGCACACCCAGTTAAATCCATCTCTGATGCTGATGCTCCTGCCAGCCACTGTTTGATTTCTGAAATATTTAGTCAGCACTCAGATTACAGAATGTTCTGCCTGGCAACACTAGCAGTCTAAAAGCTGAAACTCTTTATCACATAAGTGTATTGAAATGCAGTGAACAATACAGCACATTGTGCTACTGCCACATAATGCAAAGTGGCTCCTCCCATCAACAAAACCCTGTTAAAGTCAAATCAGATGCAATGCTGGAAAATTCTTCCAACAGAAGCCAAATCAGCCCCTGATAAGAACACTATTTCAATACACAAATTAAACTATTTTCTCCAATGTGGAAAGAGGTCAGGGCAAGAAATACTATGTAGCAACATCACATGATGCTTACTTTCTTCAGCCATGTCTAATGGAAGCTCCTGATTCCCCCCTCACTCTTAACTACTCTTACTGCTCCCATCATTCCAAAAAGATGGAAAAAAAAGTCATTCCCTACCATCTGATGCATTTAAGATGGAGACATCAAAATTCAAGCTGGAATTCTAGAATGTGATTTGCAGTGACCTTCAGTGCTGCAGCTCCTAAAAGTTAGAGGTCCCACCATGTAACTCTCCATCTTAATCTAAGTGACATACCATTTCATGCCACTTAATTATTACCAAATTTGGATAGCTTGCAGTTTAGAAAACATAAGTGTAATATATCAAATGCACCTTCAGTCACTGTATGCATCCATTTTGATAAGGGGTAATTTCTTCCTAAATTAAAGCTGGTGTAAATTATAAATGGCACTGTATTTAAAGTAGGTCTGGCTGAATTATGACAGGTATCCAGACAGCTTAGAAAATGAGTGTGGAATTCAAAATCTCCACTTGGACCCCTAATGCGAAAGAAAAAAAAAAAAAAAATCACAGTGATTTTCAGAATGCTAGAAAATGTCTGACCAGTGGCGCAGGGCAGCTGGCATCTGTTGCCAACTCAGTTAATGATCTAATCTGAACTTTGGCAAGTCACTGAAACACTTTGTTACTCGGGTTCCCTATCTGTAAAGTGCTTTGATATGGGATGAGAAGCACTGTGTTTATAAAGCTTAGGTTTTACCAGAGTGATTGTTGGAACAGAGAAAGCTGATAAAGATGTGAACAGCAGGGAATAGAGACTGAAAAGGGAAGAGATATGGGTAGCCAAAGACATTTGTTGTCAGAATAACCAAACCCACCTTGGTTTTGTAAGAAAGTTGTGCTAGCAGCCCAATAAAGTCAAACATTTTTTTGCAACTACTAGTAATTTGCCTTTCAGATCTCCTGTAAGCAAAGCCTGTAATCTCAAATTGGAGTTCAAATCACCACTCCCAAGTATAAGAGCACTTGCAGTAGCATCATTTGCAAGAACACACATTTCAATCTAGCATTGTTCTGCATCCAGTGCCACTAGGAAATTCCCAGGCTCTGGAACAGCTCCTGGAGCAGGGAGTCCTGTTTAGATCCCATGTTGAGCAACATGGTTAATCGGTCAGCGTGTATGCTTGCATGGCAAACTACACTACTAATACTGCCACTTTTACGGAACAAAGAACAAACAAAGTCCAAATGTGCGTATGCAGACTGAAGCCAGCCTACGCTACTAAGCTTTACTGGCCTACCTGTGCGGAAAATCCCACGCTTGACACAAGTCCCAGGTTTGACACAATTAGGCCACAAGACCCCCACAGTGGATGGAAAAGATTTGGCCAACAGAAGATTTAGTTTGTCACTCAGGAAGGTGAAGCAGCCAAGCAACAGAAAAAAATTCTGTTGGCCTACACTAAGGGCTCTGCCAACATAACCACAGCAGCAAAAACTCTAGTTTGAACAAGCCCTGAGAGAACTGTGACTAGCAAAGGGATCACTAAACAGAGCACAGCCAGGGAAGGGATTTAGTGAATACTAACAGCAGTCCTGCCACAATACCAAGGGAGACACTCCCAGCCCCAAAGACTTTACACTCAAACGCACATGTCAACTGCAGCCTACAAACTAAAGACCTATTTTCAGATGTAGAAAGGTGCTGGAAAGGAGAGGCAGTGAACCACCACAGAAGAAAGTGCACATTAAAGATACTCAAAGAATGTTATATACATAAAGTATGCCTAATACTGAAAAACAAGACTAGAAGAAGTCAATAAAGATCATACCATGGGGATGATCCTGTTCTAACTGCTGTGTAATTAGGGGCCTGCTACACATTCAAATTAAAGCTGGATAGCAACCAGCTATAGGAGTTGTTATAGATTTTCAAGCGTGAACTTCGTAGCTGGTTGGCTCTTTTTATAGCTCAAGAGTCATTTTTATTGTGTGATAATTACACATGTGACTGGTCTACATTTATTGTGCAAATAACCAGTTGTGTAATATATGCAACGTGTAGCAGGGGCCTCAAACTTAAAGTCAAGCAAACCATTTCTCATTATTTTTATCTGCCTCCCCCTGAAAGCTTGAAATCTAACAACCACCTGAATGTGACAAACTGAAGCAAATGCTTAGCAAAAGCAAAGATTAAATAGGACTCCAAGTATGTTCATATTCACTTAATAAACTGACTAGGCAAAGGACAAGTAGGTTCTTTGTGGAATCTTTCACTTACCCAACTTGAAAGCAGAATAGCTTTCAGTTGGAAAAGTAAACTACTTGCTTTGCCAGCACAACCAAGATGCATTATTCTGATGGGATATTAATACCACCAAGATCTGTTTTGCAGCTTTTTATTAGTTAGTTTTCTGGCCACAATCTCTATTTGTTAAAGAGGAAAGCTCTTTTTGTTAGAAGACAAAAAAAACCCACAACTTTCTGCAAAAGATTTAACTAGTTCCATAACATCAAATTAAACTTATTGTGGCAAATAAACATTATTCTGAGCCTGTTCAATTCTAGACATTAAATCTCAACTATAAAAATTATCCAAATACCCACTCTCTTTTTCCAAGTTTTTTCCTCATCTATATACAAGTTATGCAACTCCAAGGGAAGAAAAATAGTAATTTAATAAGAGTGGTCACATGGGTCACAGCTAAATAAAAAGTACAGTTCATAAGTCACAAAGCAAACAGAAGTCCTTAAGATATGAACAAGAAAAGAGTACTGTATTTTTAAAGAGAAATCAGCTCTTGGTTCACTTGATGAGTTACAGTCAAGCTAAATAATTAAGTTTACAGGATTCACTCAAAACTGTCCATACACAGCTAACCTCCATCCCTGCACACAGTCCAACCCAGATTGTGTCCTTATTTCTTCCTCCAATCAGCTGACATTTGCTCTCAAAGTCTCATACCCAAGAAGAAAGCTTCACTTGAAAAAAATAAATAAATAAAAATCAATACTTCTGAATCTTCTTGGGCTGACTTGACAAGACAGATTAATTGCAGTCTGGAGAGCAAACTCCAAGAAACAAAATACATTTCCTGAGACACCCCAGAGTTCAGGCATAGCATAGAAACA